TATTTGATTTGTTTGAATATACAAACATATAACTATAAAACTAAAGACTTTCTAATTTAATGTATTTATTTTTAATGCGACACTATCTTCTAATATTTAATCTGGGATACACATTTTCCATACACATTTGACCCGGGTTTCACTATTGTTAACTATTGACTATTGAGTCTGCTTAATTACATGTTTTTTTGTTTGGACTTATACCATAATCTAAAAGGGTTTTACTCTTTAAAATTCTGTTCATTAAAAAAAACCGGTTGTTTACACCTTAATACTAAATTTTAGTTATATTCAGTTATTTTTTATGTTTCAACTATCCTCGACACGCTAATCAATCTTTAGTTAACCATAGATAATAATGGTAAGAAGTATCTGTAAGTGGTAATTATCATTGTATAATCTATAAATATTGAAAAGACAAAAAATGAAACCAATACATAGAAAATATTTTTCTGCTAAATAATATCTGCAAGAAATTATAAATGTATCATAGAAATAAGCTATCAACATAAATGAAGCTCGAGAGATCTTGTAGAGAATTTAAACACAGATTTAACGTAAAATACTTTTAGTAAAATAAGAAAATTGATATTACCAATTGTAAATCAAAAATCAGTTAAAACATATATAAGATGAGTCTAACGCGTTAATAGTGATAAATATATACTATACAATAGCACATGATGAAAAAAATACTCGTAATACTTGCAATTATATTTTGAACTTGTATACAATTTTAATCTTGATAACCGTTTGATTTATAGACACGTGCGTTCAATATAACTTCGTTTTTGTCAGTTGACCGATGGAGTTTCCCAGTTGAGTGAAGTAATGATGAAATTTTTTTTTATTAACAATTGAATACTAAAATAACTACTTTGTAAAATTGTAATGAACTGATTTTACTGTCGAAGTTATAAGCTTTATTAGATAATTAGCATATTCTTTTAAAATTAATTACATAAAAGCTTGCAAATAATTATAATAGCTATAGGTAATAATTAACTTACCGATTATTTGATACGACTGTACTTGTAAAATAAATTGATCTGGTTAAGTAAAATATTTGTTTAACGACAAGTAGTTAAACAAAAGCTAGTTAAACGACAGCATGATTATGAGACTGTTGATAATAAATCAATAAAAAATTATAGTAATGACGGATGACCAATGTGGGCACTATCGATTGTTGGTTATCGATCGATTGACAGTTGTTAAGCCAATTTATTCGGTGCATATAATGTTTAAACAATTAGATTAATTTCAAAGATGCGAAGTACCAATAATCGATTAAAAATGATAGTCCAGATAAAATAATTAATAAATGACGTTGGTTTATTTATTGTTATAATTAAACTAGAAAATACTGTTTGATCAATATAATCCTCGATAAGAAATGTCAAAAGGAAAATGACGAAATTATAAATTGTTTTTTTTTTTTTAACAACGATTGAAACCTGATGTTCAATAGTCTTGATATATATTTGATTAAATTATAACAGGTTTAAAAAATTCATTCTAAATGAGAAATATTGGTTAAATTATATTTTTCTAGTAATTGATCATTCATTGGTTATATAATTATATGTTAATTATTACAAGGTACTTTTGTAGTTTTCAAATAGATACAATATTAATACCAATAGTTGATACATAACTTAAAAAACCGGATCTTATAATCAATTAAATTAATTGCATTCTTGGACATAGGTAATGAAAATCAAATAGAATAAAAATATCAATAATAACAAAATTGCATACATTATCAATTAATATAAATTAAACCAATTTACAATGATTGTATTAAACTTTTAGTAACATAGACAGTAGAATATGAATGAATAGTTTTCTATAATCTATTATCACAATTACGTGATGTACAATAATATTATGAGTTGAGCATTCAATATAATATTAGAACTAAATTCAATAATTAGGTACATTAAAATTAATATTACAAATGCTACTTCAAGTTATTAAAATGCATAAGTAATATGTAATAATTTATTGAACATTTGTAAATAATATGCAATGTTTTTTTATTAAAAAATGACTTCGTATTTTAAACTTTTGAGATTCATATAAATGTCTTAATAAATTATCAAATGAGTTAGTTTAATATGATCTTTTAAATTAAGCCTATAATTAAAATTATTATCAAAACATTTTATATTGTTTACTTTTTTTAATGATTGCAGTTATATCTTTTTTTAAGACTTAAGCAATCCGTTTAGGACCATCACAGCTTCCAACATATTCTTTCACCTTTTTCTGTCCAGTGTTGCTTCCATATCAAGTAAAGGGTTGATTTTTCAAATCTCTTTCAAATATCTCTGCTGGGGCCTGCCCCTTTGGCCTTATTCCCGATAGGTGTTTCCGGTGATTTCGAGTGAGTTCTCTGATCGCCAAACGTGTTCTGCCTATTCCAACCTCTTTTTAACTAAATAATTACATAAACTTGGCTTATTATATAGCTGTCATAGATTTTCATTCGTACTTCTTTGGAAACTATTTAAGTCATTATTTTATACTAGTCCACATATTTTCCTATATAATATATGTATTAATATAATACATTAATTATGAATTTATTTTAAGAATATCTCACAATAGTTGAATTTTCTAATTAATTATTTCATAATTATGGCAATAAATTGTCTGAAGTATAAAATTGTTATAAAAAATATATATTTTTTAAAAGAACAAAATTAACCGGTTTTAAAAAATTATAAAATATAAGATCAATATTAATCATTTTTAAAAATCGAATAAAATAGTAAATTAACTAAAACCATTAACCACAAAAAATTATTATGATTCGAAGCCCTGGTTAAAAGTCCTAACTGACTTTTATTTCCCGTCGTCCTCTGATCTAGGTAGTAATTAAAATATTTTGATAATGAATAGCGATAACAAAATTGATTTAATTGCTTATGACAATTGGTTTCTTGATAATGAAGTTGAAAAATGGAAGTAGGGGGATAATGAGAATGAGAAAAAGAGGAAGTGGAAAAAACTCGAAACTTTATCGTAAAAAAAAAAAATTTCCTTCGAAGAGAATTATAGTTGCTTGCATACAGTGTTTTAATCGGAAATCTAATGAATACATTAATCGACTTTGATTATCATTAATTAAAGGAAAGGAAAAAATGATAGAGTTACAAGATAAAATTTTCTTTTTGTTTCTATGTATATTTACTATACGTTCTTAGTTTATACCAGTGCTTCTCAACCTTTTTCAAACTGCCACCCCCCTAAGAAGCAAAATGTTTTTCAACGCCCCCCCTTCATTTCATTAAAATAAAAATAAAAATAGTGTACATGAAATGTTTATAATTGAATTATAAATAATATAGATAAAAGTATAAATATAATAAAAATAAAATGTAAAATTTATATTTAAATATAATTTAAAAGGATAATTTAAATGTTTTGAAATGTATTGATCAGTGAAATGCTTGGTGATTTAAAACCAATTTTTTTACGTTTGGTTCAAAATTTGTGAGATGAAGCCGTAAGTCTCCTCTTTTGACGATGTCTAGTCGATTTCTTTTTTTCGTTATTAGATAATAACGCACTGCCTCTGATATATGTAGTTCCTTAATATTTCATAATCCCAAATTTATTTTAGAAATCCATAAACGGAAAAAAATTACAGATAAATCTTGGTACGTTGCTTTGAACGAAAAAAAGTTCACCACCCCCTAATCGCTCAAAACGAGATCACCGTCCCCATTCACCCTAAACGAGCTCACCACCTCTCGGTATTCCTACACCATCCACCGGGGGCGATATCGCCCCCGTTGAGAAGCACTGGTTTATACGCTTATCAACGTATATATTGTGATTATATTTTAAACTATTGTAAATATTTGTAACTATGAGTAGTTAATGAAATGCAAAAAATATATTAAACTTACACCCTCCAAAATATTTGAGATTGTTTTCATTATATTATAATCACAATTCTTTTCTAATATATTTTTAAATTTTTTCTTTATTGCTTTTTCATAATTACATGTATTATTCAAAATACAAATTTTGATTTAATTTACGACATCAATTAATAATATAACTTTGGAAGTTATACAACTTGGTACTTTTCAATTGTTGGCTTTAATAAATATTAAATTTGATAACATTTCTTCAACTGCTATTATATGTTTCATTTTTTTAATACGAAAAACTATGGCATTGTTTTTTCAAATCTATCAACTACAGCCTTAATAAATTGAAAATATTCACATTAGTATACTACAACTTCTATCTAAGTTCTTAACGTGTTGGCATTGGTTGAGTTGGTAAAGGAATATTTGGCCCAAGAATTTTAAAACTCTAGATTGTGCTTTTAAAAAATGTTTCTTTAAATTTGAAATTTTAATTTATATAAATACTATATAATATACTCGTATACTGTAGAAAAAAAACCTAAAAAAATGCTAAATAAAAGTTTTGTCTTTGAAGTGTCTGTTGGACATTACTAATATATTCGATTAGAATAACATTAATTATAATACAATAGTTGAATACCTTTCTAATACGAATTAATTTATCATATTATATAATTTATAAAAGCATGTCATTTTTATACAATAAATATTTATAATTGTAAACCTTTTTTTACTGTAACCCAAGTTAAATTATAATTTGTGTATTACACTTAAAATAAGCAAACATTCACTTGAACACTTCAATTTTATATATAGTAAGAACATTGATCTGATATTGCTTATCGATATTTTTAGAAATGATGTAAAATTAATAATTAAAGCGATATACTACTCTTTTTAGATATATTGTTTTGAAATACGTTCGCTCAAGCCTAATTAATAGCCAAAAGTCTGACCTTCTGTTATCGGATTAGACAAACTCGTATACATTTTATTTCTGGGATATGCTCTTGAGTGAACAATAATAGGTACATAAAATGAAATATAGATGTTAGATAAATGATAAATTGTTTACGTTTATAAATTTTAATTTTCGTATGGAATCTAAATATATTTTTTAAGGTGAGCAAACTACGCTCTATTTTAGTACCTACTTAACGATCAACCGTCCAGCATTGAGTCGTCTAGTTTTTATTTTAGGTAATTTTTATACAATTTTGAACAGCGTTTTTTACTTTTCGAATACATTTTTGGATACCCATTTAAGGTTTGTACAATTATTTTGAAATTTTATTACAAATTTTTATATATTAATATAAAGTAAAATATCTATAACACTCTATGCTGTGATGAAAAATTTATCAATAAGAAATATTTTATTATTAATTATAAATAAATATTAATTTTTTATTGCAATATTGTCTAAAAATCATTATATTAATTTATTTATTAAGTTTTTAATATTTATTAAATAGTATTTAGTTATTATGTTTGTAAACACTTTAATCTGTATTCTAAATTTATATCTAAAAATGAGTTAAGAAACATATTTTATAATAATAATTGAAATTTGTATTTAATAACTTAATAATATTTACTAAAATAAATATTTGGTAGACATAATAATAACTTATGATAAAATAAATTAAGAGATTTCGAATAATTGTCAGGCCTTCCAAAAATAATTTGTACCTTGCTGAAAAAATATTGTGGAATAGTTTTGAAAAATAAAAAAATTGACACATGTTAAATTAACTTTTTTTCTAATAATCTAAAAAAAAAACTGTCTAGGTGATATTTTTAACTTTTCATTAAGTGTTTACTGAAATTTATTATTTGTAAAATCAATGGACTTATATGCTACACTCTGAAATTTATTTTTTCTATTATACAATGATATGTGATATATTATGTTATAAATTACATTTTATATACATTTTATATTTACATTTTAGTTTAATTATCTACATAATTAGCTTATTATTTTAGTATTTTGTTTTTGTATTTTTTTTAAATATATATAATATTTCGATTTAATCTGCATCAAGTATCATTCAGTGATTCTTCGGCTTAAAATTAGATACTGGTTATATTTTCAAGAATAATGCTTTAATTCTCTTAGTGGTTTTTCTTATACGAAGGAAAATAGGAAAATTTATTCATGAAATTATACTAAATTTATTCCATTCAATAAATCTGATGATAAAATAATATTAGCGTATTTCTATTCGACGAAAAAAAAAATTTTGTAAAGCAAACCTTAAGATATTTTATGCAAATTTAAGATCAAAACAATTTACTGTCAAATATGTTTTCATACATTTCAAAGATGTCATAGATAGTAATTTTTATAAATAATTTTGTTAATAGCATTATTCAATATGAATTTTTTATAAGTTTTCATTCAATTATTTTCAGAATATAATTATTTATCAATGAACTTAAATATTAGTAGTAAATTTTATACATTTATATTTATTACTAATACAACAAATGACTAATACGGTCTAAAATCTACCACTAAATCGATTTATAGTATCTTTTTAATTATTTTTTTCATTATAATATTGCAGAGTAGTTACACTAAAGCCACATTTTATTTTATTTTATTAAAAAAGAAATAATGAGACATTGAAGATTTCATGATATTTTAACGTTGGTTTTTAGTTTTAAATAATGAACTTTGATTTCTATACACTAAAAAAAGCTTACCACTAGAGTGTTAATACAATATTTTGAAAATATACATAGCTAGACACTTCGTTTTGGGTATTTATTGAAAACGATAGTAAAAATATGATGTTTATGATTGTGTAGTGAACAACAAAGTAGGTATTATCTATGTCATTCACTATAAAATGTTTATTTGCTACCACAATATCTTATTTAGTCCAAGAAATGGAATTATGAAGATAAACACTAAGTATCAAGTTTCCTACACAATCCTATACCTCACTAAAAGAAGTTGTTCGTATTTTTTTTTTTTTTTTTGTATTGAACAATGTTTTCAAAGTTTTAAAATTGATAAATGTTATGAATGTTATTTAGAGTTTATTATTTTTTCTTAATTATTATTTAAGATTATTTTGTATGATATAATTAATCATGCCGTCAGTGTTATTTACAGTTAATTAAACGTATAGTTATTATACCATCTGATAGAATTTTTTTATGATTGATTCACTTTGACCTTAAATATACACTGTCGATTAAAAAATCAAGATATTATTTAAAGTGAAGTAAAATTAAATTTATTGTTACTTAAATCAATTAGTGCATATTTTTTTCACTTTATTGACTTCTCCGCATTTATTATTTAATATGTGTTTAATGAACTTATAGGGTTGTCTAAGACCCAGATTTTAGAGGTATAATAAATACACATTGGAGGAATATATATTAATAGTTTGAGATAATTATAAGTATTTGTTGTAATATTTGTTTGTAATTAAAGCAAATTTAACTAAAATAAAAATAAAAATTATAGGTATAATAAGAAATTTGTTTAATAACTTTAATTATCTATTAAAGAGACAATTGACTTATATTCAGTTTTTGTTGACTATATCACAGATTGATAAAGGTATTATTATACAATTAGTTAATCGTTGAATAAACTATTTTATTTTAAATATATATATTAGATATTTAAAGATACTTAAATTTGAGATTTTTATTCTAATAATTTATTGTAATGTTGCATTATCTTTGATGAAAAATAAACTTATAACTTTTTAAAATTGCATAACAACGTTAACTATGTTAGAACATCGAATTATTATTAATTTAATATTATTATTAAATATATATATATATATATCAAAACCATTAAATCAGTTTTGTAGCGTTATATTTTTAGTGGTATTAATTCAAAAGTTATATAGCTATTAATAAGTGATATAATGAAATATAAATGAAATCAAATTAACAATAACAAATCATTAAAAAATTAAAACGAAGGTTAAAGATATATGAGATCAATAAGTTAAATTAAATCGTTATTTTAGCGGATTATAGAACATTCAATACCTCAGTGACACAAAAAAAGTTATGATTAATGATGTATATTTTTTTTCAAAATAATATAGATATACCTATATATAAAACATAAAGATTAATGTTTGAAAATGTTCAGATTATAGTAAAAAAAGTGTATTAAATATTCACACTACTACTTTAATAAGCAATTATTAGATAATTTTGTAATGTAATTTAATACCTTTGATTGAAACATCTTTTTTTAACTCTTTTATAAAATTTAACTATTATTTGATAAAAATGACAGAATAAAATATTCAACATTTGAAATTTTTAATGAAATACAAAGCGTCTATATATATCTAACATCGTTTAGTAAAACTTTTTAAATTGTCCACAGAAATTTTGTAATTTTAAATCGAAACTTGTTTACTACATACATACTACATGTACTGTATACTATATTCGTACAGCAAAATCAGTGTTCATATTCAAAAGAAAAACGAAAATTCCGGTCAGTAAGCTTCTTACAGAGAAGACACTCAGAATAGATCTAGAAAATATTGTGTTTTATAATATTTTGAAGTATCTTCAACTCTTTTATCATCATTATACGCAGTAAAACTTGTCTTATTTAAAATTATTTTGTATTTTTAAAAAGGAGTTTAAACAGATCTACTTCTTAAAAAAATTTTGATCCATATACTGCATTTGTCTAAAATCTAGAACTGATTAAATAAAAGCTATTTTATTCCTTTTTTTTTAAAAAAAATTTTTCAAGTATTTCTGACATTTAAATCAATTAATTTTTCATGATTGTAACTATAACTACTTATTTTTTAGCGAGAAATATTTTACTGCGAGTACCTGTAATTATTTTGAAAGCAATAAACGATTTAAAACTCTTGGAATTCTGATTTCTGATTAATCCTTTAAATTTTTTAAAAATACACAAATGAATATTTAAATATGAAGTATATAGGATATAGTAGAGTAACTCATTAAAGAAAGCTTTGGATTCATTAAAGTCGTTTGTATTTGTTTCTTATTTTATATTTTTAATGCTTAATTTCTTGGTTAACACGTTCAATGCCACTGTCGACACGTAGTCGACAAATGTTATGTATATCTTTATGGGTGTATTATTTGATCGGTTATAGACGCAATGTTTCAATATTTTTATGTGGTTATTCAGTAGGATGTCGTGATTTCAATGGTATATTTGGATTTTGCGTAGCTATTTTTAGCGAGTTTTAATTAATTTTTTCCGAATGATGACGACGGCGACGGCAATACCGATTACGCGGCTGTGCTATTTCCGATAATATATTGATATCATATTATTTTCGTTGTTAATAATATTCTGACGAAATAGTATTAGTTTATTTTAATAATCTACAGGTGTATCTTGCTCGGATGTACAATAACAATAAATGTACCTATATTTATGTTCGCATACTATGGTACACTCTACATTCATATTTTTACATAATTATAATTAATTTAATATTATGTTAATGATTCGTTTTATTTTCCAAAAATTAAAAATCTGTTTATTTTTTAACAGCTAATATTATACGTAAATAATTTTGTTTTTCATGTAAATTTTGTATTTATTACATTTTATTGATTACTTTTTAAAAAAATAACCTTGATAATATAGTATATATTCGTACAGAAAATAATTTTTTTTATAATATTTAAATAACAATTTTACGGTGCACGGCGCGCAGAACCGGTGTCGACACGTAGTCGACCGACGGCGTCGCGGCTCAGTTTTGGCGCGGAAACTTACTATATGCGCACCATAAATACACTGGCACTCAACGTGTTAAATTATTTATTGTTGCTTTCAATTAAAACAGATAATAAGTTAATAATACATTAACCAACAGAATATAATACAATTATGATAAGATACTTAGAATATTAACCTTTGGTATTAAATTAAATGTAACAACGATTCTTTGAAAAATTATCAATATTCTTAAGGGCTAAAAATGTGTAGTTTAGTGAAAATAAATTTTTTTAAATTAATATAATTAAAAGTTTTTATATAATTATGTAATTATCACAACAATTGGTATTGATAAAATTGTATTTTTTAGGTATGCCGGAAACAACAGAAATAGTGATTTCTGGTATTGCTGGAAGATTTCCAGAATGTGATTCTACCGAAGAATTTAAGCAAAAGCTGTACAATAACGAAGATCTTTTGACTCTCGATAATAGAAGATGGTCACCAGGTAAATTTAATTTATGGCACGATTATTCAATTTTGAATGATTAATTTACAGATTAATATAAAATGTAATATTTGATATTTAAATATGATTTTAATGCAAAATATCTCATTCTAATTATACTATTTTAAAACGATAGATATATATAGATTTAAGAGTATTATGTTTCATAAGGTGTTAGCTTTATTTAATCGATTAATAATTCATTATTATTCTAGGACCATCATGTTTCAATAATTTTTTTTCAATATTTTAATAATAATTTTTTCAATAATATTTAAATAATTTTAAATTCCATTTGATTACATATAGGGATATATGGAGTTCCATCAAGGACAGGAAAATTAAAGGATATTTCCAAATTTGATGCAGAATTCTTCGGTATCCATTCAAAATTGGCTAATTGTATGGATCTTCAGCTTAGAATATTACTTGAGGTTACACATGAAGCCATAGTTGATGCAGGTATATAATAACTTACTCTTGACATTTAAAAATTAAAATACATTTTCATTTAATCTACGGTGTCAAATTTTTACAGGTGTAAATCCACAGGATATTCGTGGCACAAAAACTGGAGTGTATGTTGGTCTGATGACGAACGAAACTTCGGATTTTTTTGAACGTACACCAGAAAAACTAACTGGTTACGAAACTATTGGTGCAATTAGATCCATGTTAGCTAACAGGATTTCTTTCCAATACAATTTCAAAGGTAAAAATAAATTATGTGAATAAATGTAATTTCTCGTTTTTAAATTAAAAATATTTTATACAGGTCCAAGTGTGGCCATTGATACTGCGTGTTCGAGTGCGTTATTTTGTTTGCATGACGCCATCTTAGCGATACAAGCAGGCCAATGCGATGCTGCTATTGTAGCAGGCACTAATTTACTCTTAAAACCCGCCATTTCGGTTATGTACCATAAGTATAATATGCTTAGTCCCACCGGAACCAGCAGACCTTTTGATATTGGTGGTAAGTAGTCAACTAGAGAAGTATAAAATAATATAAAATAAAGACGTTTTGCATTAATCATTTACAGCAAATGGTTATGTAAGAAGTGAAGCAATCGTTGCAATTTATATCAGAAAGTCTATAGACGCCAAAAGAATCTACGCTACTGTAGTAGGCTCATCTACTAACACTGATGGATTTAAAGTCGAAGGAGCAACATATCCTTCGCAATCAATACAAAGTCAATTAATTAGAGAGACTTATGCGCGTGCTAATTTGAAACCTTCCGAAGTTCACTATGTCGAAGCTCATGGAACAGGAACAGGCGTATGAAAATTAAATGGTTGATTTTTTTTTAGAAATGTTTCCTGAAATTATTATGCTTATAGGTGGGCGACAAACAAGAGTTAAATGCCATTTCAGATGTTTTTTGTATTGATCGTAAAGTTCCTCTGCTCGTCGGTTCGGTTAAATCAAATGTAGGTCACGCGGAACCAGTATCGGGTTTGGTATCAATAGCCAAAGTGCTCTATGCTTTGGAAACCGGAATTATTCCAGCTAACATCAATTTTGAAACGCTGAATCACAATATTCCAAAACTTGTTAACGGTGAATTGAAGGTGACACCAAAATCTTCGAATAAAATAATAATTTAAAAGCAATCAAAATACTTAAAAATTGTCTAGGTTGTCGATAAGCAAACTCCATTGCCAGGTGATAAGATTTCTATTAATTCATTTGGAGTCGGAGGAACAAATGTCCATGTTATTTTAAAAGCTAATAGTAAAATAGCACAACCTATATCGCTGCCAAAACTTGAGATTCCAAGGCTCGTATTTTTGTCAGGAAGAACAAGAGAATTGTTACAAGATCAATTTGAAATTGTATGTTTCTTATGTCACGAAATCATTGATCAAAATTAATATAAATTAAATTTTATTTTTAGTTAGAAAAATATGCAGATAATGATGATCTTTTAACTTTGATTGATGATATATATAAATCACCAATACCTGGTTATAAATTTTCCGGTTATTCTATTCTTGGAGAAAATCCTCGAAATGTTGAAGTTGCTGTAATTATTTTAATATATAATAAATAGTTGCATTTGAGTAAATAATTTCATTGATATGTAAATATTTTAGCAAGGTAATGTATCCGAAGATAAAAGGCCAGTGTACTTTATTTTTCCGGGTATGGGAAGTCAATCATTAGAATTGGTCAAAGATTTAATAAAATTCAAAGCGTTTAAAACCACTGTTGACAAAGCGCATAACATACTAATTCCTTATGGCTACAGTGTTCATGACTTATTTTACAAATCCAATGAAAACACGTTTAAGAGTATATGCAATGTAACAATCACGATTATTATTGTCCAGGTAATAAATTTATACAATATGTACGTATTCAGCAGTGATGCGCAACCTTCTGGCTAGGACCTTTAAAGTGGTCGCCAAATTTTATTAGAGAATAGCCAATAAGGTCGCAAACGAGTTGTGTCTCAAATACGGAGTTGTGTCCGGTGGATTTTTTTGGGTTACACGAATTGTGTCTCAAAGAATAAAATGTTCAAGAACATCTACATAAGTTATATACACAAGGTGATACATTTTCCAATTACAATATTACACATTTAATACGTAGACAAAATTTTTCACAAGAATAAAATACGGCATAATTCATAACATAGTTATCCATTAAATAAGTTGCAAATTTAAGAACTTCAGAATTATTTGAAACATTACATGACATCAAATTAAATAAAAATGCATTTTCTACTTCATCTGGATCAAGAAAGTACTTTAAAAATTTGCTTATTTCCAAAAATTGATCCTTATATTTTTCTGATGAGCTGATTTCTTGAATTTTTCGCCACCAATTTTGATCAAGATAGAAGCGACAGCCTTTCATTTCTATCATTGACCACGCATTGGCGATTTTAAAATGAGTTGCTATTTTAAAATCTACAATAGTACGTGATATATGTACACCTTAATCTCTGCACTATAGTAAAGTATAATATAAATAGTAAAACATATTAAAACATACATTTTTGTCGGGACACAACTCGTTGACTGCGGCCAATAATGTAACATCAAATGAAAAATTTATATATTATATATATATATATATAACTTTGTATAAGTTTATATTTATAATTTAGATTTTATAAAACTCTAATTTAAATACAATTTTGTATACATTAAATAAGTATATATTATACACTAACATAATGTTGGTAGAAAAAGGAATTGCCTCATTGAAGTAAATTAATTTGAGGGTCGTGGATCAAAAAAGGTTGTGTCCTGCTGATGTAAAGGTTAACCGTTATTTTTGCAGTCTCATTATATATTGCATTATGCATTTATAGATAGGTCTGGTCGATATTTTACTCTCACTAGGCATTGAACCTGATGGTATTATTGGTCATTCTGTTGGAGAAATCGCGTGTGCATATGTCGATGGTTGTTTCACTTTGGAAGAAGCATTGTTGACAATGTACTGGAGGTCTAAAATACTGACTCAGATAGACGTGCCAGTTGGAGCTATGGTGGCAGTAGGATTATCTTGGGAGGAAACTAATAGAAGACTTCCCGATGGTATAATAGCTGCTTGCCACAACAGTGCTGACAGTGTTACTATTTCGGGACCTAAAGATATAACTTTGAAATTCGCTGAAACCTTGAAGAATGAAGGTATATTTGCTAAGCCTGTAGATTCAATGGGATATGCTTTCCATTCACCATACTTACAAAAACTTATACCAGCATTAAGACCATACTATGAAAAGGTAATTATAATATAATAAAATAATTTAAACGTAAATTATTTGAATTAATCTTACATAATTGTTCATAAAAATTATACTATCATAATATATTATAATAATAAAATGTAATAATTGTTATAATAATTAATAAATAGGTTATGAAGAATCCTAAACAAAAATCCAATCGATGGAAGAGTACATCATTACCAGAAGATCAATGGAACACACCTGAAGCCCAGTACCCATCGGTGGACTATCATTTAAATAATATAAGTTCACCAGTTTACTTCCATACTGCAATAAAGCATATACCGTCAAACGCTATAGCAATTGAAATTGCACCACATTGTTTGCTGCAAGCCGTTTTAAAAAGATCTTTACCTCCTACAGTTACAAATATCGGTTTAACCAAAAAAACTGTTTCAAATCATACGAACTTCTTGTTAGAAGCTATTGGAAAGTAAGTATAACTGTTCATTGGGTTTTTTTCAATCAGTGACTGGAACCTTTACGATTTAAGGGTTTCGGTTTCAATTCTGGTTTTTTAAAATATATAATTTCAGTTTTGGTTTGAAATAAAACTATATAACATGAAATTTTATGGGAAATATTATAATTTTCTATAGAATTTTTTTTAATCTTATCAAAAAAGTATAAAATTATTATAATTATGAAAAAAATTATAGATACCTGTGAGGATTTTGCTATCAAGTGTGTACCTACAAATTTAAATATTTTTGTTTTGTTTTTAATCATAAACTCTTAAAATTATTATTAAATACTTCATATTTGATTTTATCTTTAAAGACAGATTCCAAAAATGTTACTGCAGTTAAAACATAATTTAAAAATTATGTAGATAATCATATGCATCACAAAACTATAAAATTGTCATAGTATTATATTATTTATAAAACCATTATAAATAATGTTGCTGCATATTAATATAATGATAGCAAAATAAAATGTAATTTATTTAAATATTATATTAATGCATAAGTAATATTTATATGAAAGGAAAACATTTTTTTTAGTTTTGGTGAGAAATATTTTTGATACGGTACTCTTTTATATGATGCTGTAAATTGTGATATTTGATCTTTGCTAGCACTAAAACAAATATAAATAGTTTTTATATAATTTAGTTGGAATTAAATTAGTATTTTGAATCATAATTATATTTTTATAGTCATTTATTATTTGTATTACCTTTAGAATCAATTTTCTTAAATAATCTGTTAGTATGCACTAATAATTGATTTTGTAGATTTTATGAACTTATACTACTAAATCATATTATTCATATATTAATATATTAAATTTAAACAATTTTTTTTTTTTAATGTGCAATACATAATACATCGTTTTTATACATGATTTATCATAAGAATCTAAAAAAACCTTTTAGAACCTTAAGTCAAAAAACTTTTTCGATCGATATTCCGGTTCTTTAAATTTAAATTTAACTGTACTGATTAATTTGATTATAATTATTAAAGGATGTATATCGCCGGAGCAAAGCCACAAATACAGAATATATACGGAAAAGTTGAATATCCAGTCATTAGAGGGACACCAATGATATCTCCAATGTTAAAATGGGATCATTCAACTAACTATATAGTACCAGATTTCATAGAAAAGGTATGTAATAAAGTATAGTGTTATAGAATTATTTATAAAAGCCTTAAGAGTTACCTTATATTGGCAAGTGGAATAAATAACATATTTTGCGATTAAATATCTAAAGCTTTAATTTATAAAATTGAGTTAATTTTTTTTTTTTTTTTTTTATAGAGTCATGGATCAAGTGATAATCAAATTGAAGTTGATATAAAAACGGATCAAGATAAATATTTGGTAGGACATACGATCGATGGACGTGTACTATATCCAGCTGCTGGATATATAGTAAGAAAAAGTATAAATATATTTTACGTGTTAGAGTTTGTTAAATTTATACATACCTAAATATATATTACCTCATAAAAAATTAGTAAAATTTAATATGGAAAAAAAATTACATTATACTATATTATATATTATTCAGAAACGTATGCAATGTATAGAAAAAATTGTATACATTATTAGTATTAACTATTGAATAAATTATGTAATTTAGACATTGGTTTGGAAAGCTTTTGCAAAACTTCAAGGAAAGTGGTTTGAAGATGTACCGGTAACTTTTGAGAATTTAAGATTTCTTAGGCCTACTGTTCTTAATACTGAGAGTAAGGAAAAAACTAATATAAAGCTATACGATTCGATATATTATTTGACTTGTAAATCGTTTTATTTTTAGGTACTGTTAAGTTCAATATAAACATTCTTAACGGATCAGGTGAATTTGAGTTATTGGAAGGAGGATCATTAACAGTAACCGGTAGTGTAAAACTACTGAATGAAAATAATGCACAAATTCAAATTGAACACCCTTCAATGGTTTCTGAAAATATGATTCTGAAATCTGATGACTTTTACAAGGAATTGAGGCTTCGTGGATACCAATATAAAGATGCTTTCTTAGGTTTTATAGAAGCAAACAGCGAAGGTGAGGAATTTTGAAAGTAATTATTTGTAAAAAAAAACTAAACAAAATATTAATATTTTAGGTTCTAAAGGCAAAGTGGCTTGGACTGGTAACTGGGTGTCTTATATTGATACCCTCTTACAATTTGAACTTATATCTATCATAGCGAGAGAACTTCGTTTACCAACATACATTAAAGAAGTTATTATCGATCCTGTGTATCATAAACAAGTTATTGATAAGTCATCAAATACAAATGGTAATGATAAATAATTGTTACTTATTATTGTATAAATTATTATATTTACTAAACAATTTTTATACTTAGAAGTTGAAGTAAATCATTTTGATAATGATAAAATCACACAGTCTGGTGGAGTCACTATTTCAAATTTAAAAGTATCGCCTGCACCATTGAGAAAGAATGCACATTTACCAACTTTGGAACGTCATTCGTTTATACCGTATACTTATAAAGTGAGTATATAATAATAGGAAGCATTTTATTATAAATAAATACACATTGTTTTGTTTTATTTAATTAGTCTGAAGAATTATCTACTTATGAAGTACTTTATGGATTGGTTGGTTTATTCATGGAAAATGTAGGAATACGATATATAAAAGCAACAGAAATTTATAAAGATAATCTATTAGCTCCAGAAATCGTTCAAATAATTGAAGCAGAAGCCAACTTTTATGTAAGAATTTTTTGGTTGAAAGTATGAAAGATTCAATATAGAATTATCATTGTGTTTTAGGTAGACTATTCGGTTCTTTCAAATGGGCCTGTTAATGTCGAATCGAGCAAATTAACAGCATTAGATATCGAAATAGTGAATTTCAATATTGAAAATTCATCATTACCAGAAGGATACCATTTAGTAGTTGTGGAGAACACTCAATTTGAAGTTTCTTTTTTGAGTAAAATTGCAGCCGCTTTGGCTCCAAGAGGATTTGTACTGTTAGTGGAAAATACCTCTATTGTACTGTCAGCAACATTAAAAGAATCAAATCTCCAAAAAGTTGCCGTTATTGAAAATAATAATAAGAATTATTTTCTTCTAAAAAAAGTAAGTAGACATTTTTAATAAATGTTACAATTTTTGGTTTACATTTTGGTTTATTGCATAGGTATCACCTGAATATGAGTATACAACTTTAAAAATTGAAGACGAAGATTTTTCATGGATAGAAACTTTGAAAAAAGAACTTAAGAACAGCAAAGAAAATCCAAACAAAAAAGTTATAGTATATAGTGATAAAAATGTTAATGGTGTTTTGGGTCTGTCTAAATGTTTAGTTGAAGAATTTACCGGTGAAGAAAATCCCATTAGGTAGGTAGTTTTTTTTCGAATATATTTGAAAATTAGATTGTTTGTTATCAACTTAAACGTTTTACCTAGATGCATATTGACTGACTCTGGTAAAAAATACACTTTGAAAGATTTCGCACCGCTATTGGAAATTGATCTGTTCTTTAACGTGGAAAGAAACGGTGTGTGGGGATCATACCGACATTTACCGATCAATGTGAAAACTGCTACAAATGTTCAAACAAAAGATGCAAAAGTATCCGTACTGACAAAAGGTGATCTGACAACACTTCAATGGGTCCAATCGTCGAAGTAGATACATTTGTATTATAAATATATAAATAAACTCATATTTTTATCCCAAATTATACTTAATTTACAGGTATTCCAGTTGTAATGATAATGATTTAATTAAAGTATCTTACGTGGGTGTCAACAATGTCGATTTAGCTGCAGTTTCTTCAATGGTAATAATTTAAATTATATAATTTATAACTTTAAAATAAAATTAGTTTCACATTAAATTCAAGTAGTAACAACAGATTACACGAGTATATACACAAATGTTTATATATATATATATACATTTTTCTTATAGAAAACTGAATTTGGTGTGGAATTTTCTGGTATTAAATCAGATGGTCAAAGAGTAATGGGACTAGTTAAAAGTGGAGCCTTATCTTCAACTATTGATCAAAATAATGCTCTTTTATGGAAAGTGCCCCAAAATTGGACTCTGAAACAAGCCGCTACTGTACCTTATTCATTCTTTGTGGTAATAATTCTAAAACAACCGAACAATATATAAGTTCAAAATAATAATATTGTATAATTTAGGCTTCCTATGCCCTAATACACAAAGGAAATTTATCAGAATCGAAAAATGTTTTGGTGTTTGCTGGTGCCAACAGTGTCAACTATGCAGCTATTTCTATTGCACTATCCATCAAGTGCAAGGTATTTGTTGTAGCTGAAACGAACGAACAACTAGAAAATATTAAAAGAAATTATCCAGGAGTGAGTAAAAGAAATTATATTTACAGTTCAATTGTAATAAGAGAATAATAATGTTGTTTTAACTTAATTAAGGTGAGTCCGGTTTCAACCACAAGGTTTGATTCAAAATTCGTTCAAATGGTTTCAAAATTAACTCAAAATCATGGAATCGATTTTGCTATTTTAACAAAGAATGTTTCTAATCGTTTACCAGAATTACTTGCAGACGAAGCGAAAATTGTTCAAACTGAAAATACAGACATTTCATTTTTATCACGTAAAATTTAATTTCATATTTAAACATAATGATTATTTTGGAGAGAAATAATATGGTCATATTTTAGTAAATAATATATATACATATATATATATTTTAGGCTCAAACAAAGGATTTGGAGTTATATCAGTTAAATTTGAAGATATACCCATTTTAAATAATGAATTCGTCGACAGAATTTATTCCTTTATAGAATCAAATGTGAAACTTAATTTCATAAAACCCTTATCATTTGTCGAATTTTCGTATTACGAAGTTGAGGCAGCATTCAGGTAAATTGATAATATTCAAACACATTAGAGATAAACTTGAAATTTTTATATTGCTAATTATTCATTTTAACTAATATTTTAATGTTGGTTTATGTTGTACGTTAAGTGTAACTATTAGGCATTGTAATAAAACTAGTTTCCTAAGTATAATCGTCAATATAAAAATTAATCTTTGCATTGTCTTTAGATTATATAATAATAATAAATCTGGAAATAAGATTGTTATTGAAGTCGCAGAAAATGCTTTAAAAACTAACTTTGAAGCTTACAGAAGGGTTTACTTTGACTCAAATAAAAGTTACATTTTTTCAGGTAAGCATCTTTTAAATGTATCTCGATTTAAAATCTTAACTTGAGTTTAATTAGGTGGTCTTGGTGGATTTGGAATGGAGCTTACCGAGTGGGCAATACAACGAGGAGCAAAGAATATTATTCTATGTTCTCGAAGTGGAATTCAAACAGGATATCAAAAATATAGAGTCAATATTTGGAGAAACCAAAATATTAATATTGAAATTAGTACATATGATCTCACCACGTTGACAGGCGCTAAAGATACTGTAAAATTAGCGCTGAGTTTAGGACCATTAGGTGGAATTTTCAATTTAGCCGGGGTATGATATAAAACTAATATAATGCAATATAGTTTTTAAACATAAATGTTTGACAAAAATTCAGGTTTTGAGGGATGGAATTTTTGAAAACCAAACCGTAGCTAACTTCCAAACAGTATATAACAGTAAAGTGTTAACTACTAAATATTTAGATGAAGTATCAAAAGATGTAAGCAAGGATTTAGAATATTTCGTTACTTTTTCATCGATTTCATGTGGTCGAGGTAACAGAGGACAAACAAATTATGGTTATGCAAATTCTATTATGGAAAGAATTTCAGAGCAAAGACAGAAAAAAGGCCTACCAGCTGTATGAAAAATATTTATTATTATTAACAATCAACACACTTTATATTAAAACATTTTAATTGTTAATATCTCCAAAAAAAATAAAATTGTTTATTCAACAGCAATCGATTCAATGGGGAGGAATTGGAGATGTCGGAATGGCATATATATTAACACGTGGAAATGAAGAAAAAGAAATCAATGGTACATTAGCACAAAAAATATCGTCTTGTTTAACTGTATTAGATACACTTTTAACTCAAAGTTCTGCCATTGTTGCTTCACATGTTATACCATCCAAGAGAAAACAATCAAATGACACAAAATCCCAATCACTTACTGAAACTGTTGCTGAAATTATGGGTAAATTGTTATCTTGATTACATTTTAAAATACAATATGCTCACAATTTGTTAGAAATAATATTGAACACAATTTATAATAAGTCATATATTTTATAAAAACTGTTAGAATTTAGATGTCAATTTATTAAATTATTTATAAAATTATATGTCATTGATAAGTCTACGTCAGGGACTAGAACCTATAGGTTGTTTCGGTTTTGGTTCTTCAATTAAATTTTTAAGGGTACCGGTTTAGGTTTCGATTTTTTAAAAGAGTAAATGTTTTCGAACCAGTTAATTTCGGTTAATTCTGATTATTAGAAATTTATTAAAAAATAATATGAAATTATTTATTTATTCTTGTTTAAATTTTAATTGTTTCATTACATGAAAATAGAAGATATTATGATTAGTTAAAAAATAACTATAAATATTCTAATTAATTTCTTTGAGTTATGTTAAGTTATTTTATTCCAATTCATAGTAAGAATTTGTAAAATATTTTGTAATGTTGTGTAATATTAAATAATTTTAAAATAATATTTAATCTTTAATTTAAAATTCAATTTTAATTAGGAATCAAAGTTAATACTGGCTACTGTTGTAGCTACAAATTTTTTATAAACATTAATTATATTTAATACTTATTTGACAAGATAGATTATGTACTCATTGTAAATTGTAATATATTAATAAACATAGAAAAAAAAATAATAATAATATTACAAATTTACTTATTATATGCATTATACTATTACAGTTTACAACACAAAATAATAAAAACAAAAAGATTTGACTTTTATTTTTCTGAACCGACAAATAGATAAACAAAATAGTCAATACCATAGTTTTACTAATCTAAATAACTAAATAAATTAACCCTTTTATAATTAAGGTTACAGTTACGGTTTTTCATTTTTGGAAATAAAGTTTCCGATTTCAGTTACGGTTCCTAAATTTAAAGGTTAACCGGTTCCAGTACTGGTTTTTTTAGGTTACGGTTCTGGCCCCTGGTCTACAATAGTTAATTATTTTCATATCACGTTAATTAGAATGTGATATAAAGAACAAAATATAATTCATTAACATAAAAAATTATAAATAATTCAAACAAGTAACCATGCCTATCAATGTTTTTTCTAGGAATTCAAGATCCATCTTCAGTTAAAGCTGCATCTACATTAGCAGATTTAGGAATGGACTCTTTGATGGGAGTTGATATAAAACAAACCATTGAACGTAATTTAGGATTGTCTTTAACCAATACTCAAATTCAACAGCTGAAATTTAGTGAATTGGACAAAGTGGGTGCTAAATAATAAACTTAAGTGATATTTTTAGAATATTAAAAAGAATTGCATTTTTATTAATTACATGAATAGTCTTATTAGTATTTAGGTAAATATTTAATTAAAGTTTTTCAAATTTAAAAATATGTCAACAGAAAAACGTTCGATTCAATACTATATTACTATATTTTAATATTAATGTGTTAAAAAAAAAGACATTATTTGTGTTTGTGAAACTATTCGTTTTTGTAAAATGATATATAAAATTTATTCAAATTTATAATAAATACAGATACAATTAATGAAGGTGTTATTAAGATAAATTAAAATCCAATACTACCAATATAAATCAAATTTGATTTATTTAAAAAAAAAGTAATTTTAATGGGAAAATTATCATTTGTTATGTTTTTATAATAATTAATTGATGATTATTCTACACCTAGTATACTCTTCTGGTGATCATATTTGATAGACACTGTTCAAATTTTGTATATTGTTGCTGTTTATAATTATTATGTATTTAATTAATCGTGTTATGTTAGTGTTACCCTTAACCTCTATTTTATAATCTTAGCCGATACATTTCATATGAAAATAATAAATAATAATAATGTTGTCCGAGTGATAAAGTTGACATGTCTTTGTTATTTATGAACAACAATGTATTTACAATTTTGGAGATTGACAGGAAGCGTGTACTTATATTTTATTTACGCACATCTGATGTTCTGAAATGTACAAAAATATTATAAACTTGAACTTTAACTCGGATATATGTGTGTGTAAAGAAAATAAATGTTTTTACCGTTGATTCGAAGTAGAATTGCTTATTCGTAAAATAATTAATGTAGGAATATTTTATACTAGATAACATTAAAAATACTTATTTTTCAGTGGTAATCAGTTACTCTGTTTACATGTTCTCGAGTAAGTTAGAAGACTTTTCGAACATACCTCGTATAATGACAAATTTCTAGACACCATAAAAATAATGGATAGTAATTACAGTCTTACTGTTGATTCTTCGTCCATAATGCAAAAATAATACAATGAAGTATTACATATAATGTATTTTCTAAAACTTTGTGTAAGACTTTATTTTTTGTGAAATATGGAATGATTAATATTAAAATATAAAGATTAGTATTAAATAGGTATACTTGTTGATTTATGTACCCCGAAGTACAGCCAGTATAATATGATCACACGAGAAATGAGCATAAATATTAAATACTGTGTTCCTGGAGGAGATGAGGAGTAGTGTTCTTGGCCAAAATAGCTGGTATAGTAAGTTCTCTAATGGTATGATTTTATTAATTCTCAAGGTAAAACTTAATTATTTCATGGTTCCAGGGGCAATTAATTCTTAAACCAGATGGATTATCATTACAAATTTATATAAATAGTTTTTTCAAAGATACAGTAAAATTACCAAACCCCCGATTTTCTTACTATTAATTATACATATATGTGTATATTTTATAGACCTTATACGCCTTACTGAGCAAACCAATACTATATACATTTTTAAAACAATTACATTATTAGATGGCAACATAATATTAAATTAATTTGTAATGATTTTTTAATTAAATAGAAAATAACTAATTGAACACAATATAATGATTATAAGAAACTTTTAGTTTAATTTAATTACGGACGGATAAAAATAATTATTTTTAGTAGTATAAACTATAAAAGTACATAAACAGTTTATTGCGATTATCTAGTGGTATTATTATTATCAATTTAAATAATTAAAACCTCTCTTATTATCCAAATATCAACGATATTCAAGTACCTTTAAGTCGAGATTTTTAATACTAATCAATAAACGAATATTTTCCTTTGTATACAAGGGATCTGAAATTAAGCAGCGTATTTTCAAATTGTATTCAATTTTTCAAGCTGATTAAAAAAATCGTATTACAAAAATACGACATCTTGTAGTGATCAGATTTCAAATTTGTAAAAATATATGAACTCATAAACAAATTTACTTAGTATCGGTCGGATTACTTTTTCAATTTCATTAAGTGATTCGTGCAAAAACCCAATTCAAATTTTTATTAATTTGTAAATATGCAATTGTAATTGTATAAAAATCAATTTTCGATATGAAAAGTTTATTTCGACTGATTTAAAATGAAGTTGTTTAGAATTTCAAAAATCTTTAAATTTTTAAATTCATACAATGGGAAAAACTTAGCCGTTTATCAGAGTTTTGGGCCGTTTTGACGAAAAATGTATTCATTTCCGAATCCATTAACTCTCAATTCCTTTACGTTCATAACGCGACGATGTGATAGCAGTACGGTATGGAAAAATAGAAAAAAGTTTTTAAAAAACACATTGAGAAGAAAAAATAAATAAATAGTATGCTGTAGAAATAGAAAAAATCCATTTCCGGTTTCGACAACGGGCAAAAGCTGTTGTCGCGATGGGGAAACTCTCTCTTGACCGTAAAGCATGCCCGGAAATGTATAAAAGCGGACGGTGGAGGAACAACCACGAGAAGTCAGTTTTGCAAAAAGGGTTAGCGGAGGGGAAGGGGACAGAAATCAGGGTTCCAGATGGTTACCGGAGTTGCGTCCGGTGATTTACCGTGCCAGACGTAAATGGCGTTTGCCGGTCGCGATCGCGGTCCAAACTTGGCAACCAGTTGACGACCGAAACCGTAGTCCTCGGTCGGTCCGAGACATGTGCCGTCCTAATTAAAAAAATGACTTCTCCGGCCGCGTGGAACTGGTTCAATGAAACTATTAGACGACTTTCGAATGGATTATCCGTTTTTGTAACGGCCGTACGCGTGTCGTTTTCCATTCCAAACGTACGTACAGGCATGCGCGGACGGGAAGAAACGAGAAACGGTTGCACAACGTTATTGAGACGTTTCCCGGAAACCGTAGGTCTGTTGTGATGTTGTGCGCTCGTATAACGATGACCGTTCAAAGTGATCACCTGCTGGCGTTCGCACGACACTTGCACAGCGTTTGCAGTTGCTTATTCGACGGCGTCGTCCGGGTTAAACGTGCTCGGGCTGTATTAATATAAGTAACCGTTTTTAAAACACCTCTCAGCACATTGAAATCCCACCCCTAATTATAATATTAGACATGTGTAGAATAGGTCGTATTCAATGTTTTTTTGCGTTATGAAAGGCAATCATTCTAATGCGGTATAACATCAAATTTAATTCGACTAGGTCCGTTGATTTGCAATTTTTTGCGCTATTTCCGAAGAACTAGGATAAATGAAATCAAATGGCATTGGAAATTAAATTACATTAAAGTGATATTTATTAATTTTTATTTTTTATTTTTTTATGTATTACGCAGTCATGTTTGACCGATGAACCACACAGATTATGCAAATAACGTTAATGATTTTACTTTAAATATGTACACCACCACATTATTCCCCATAGATCTTTTAGGACCGAGTATAATTATTTTAACTCATCATACCCTAATCTTCTAAAAATGTAATGATGATAGCAACAATATAATTTCCTTTCGAAAGTGTATCTCTGTTACCGTTTCAACTTAACGTAAATTTAACCGTTTGATTTTTGCAAATAATTGTAATATATTACTTGGTAACGATTTAAAATTTTATTAAATGTTGAAAATCCTTCGTTTTTGGAATATCGATACTTGTATTACCCAATATTAGTTATTGGACTTTCGCGATTTATGAAATATAATATTAGTTTACTGGAAATGTTAACGATTTTTTTCTAGCATATTTAAACTAAATATCTTATTTAGCTATGTAATTACCACGTTAACCTTGTATTATGTGATCGATATTCGTCCTAGAATACTTTTTATTATTATAAAATGTAAATTAACGCGGTTTTGAAGAACAAAATTTGAATACATTATTGTAAATAAAGATGAGGTCAACAATACGCAATATTATACATTTAATTGGAAAAGTCTTAGTGGCTAGGTTTCTAAAAAATCGATAGTTTTCATAGAAGATAAGAAAAAATATTACGTATTGTATTACGTAAATGGTAAAAAATTCTCTAAAAAACGAAATATACATAATCGGGCCAAAGCTGTCTAAAAGCGCACGATGAACTGTAATAACTACTTGCCGATTTCAGATTATATTTACAGTTTTAACTTAGTATAACTCGTTATACGTGCTTTTGTAGACGCTCAAGACCAACATAATAAATAAAGCACGATATACGATTATTTAGTGTTGTACTTGAACCACAATAGTCATATGTGATACGGTAAGCACGAGAGATATAAAATTCGGAATACGCTTAGGTAATTTTTTTTTAGTTTTTTGTGAACAAAAATTTTTTCAGGTTTCTGATCGTCTACGTACAGGGCTAGCGAGAATTTTGTAGGACTCCCGAGACTGATCGGTTCCAGGCCCTTTTTACTTGCACTTGTTTAGCCAAGATATACATTATACTTGTACATACTTTAGTGCCATGAAAATATCGTTTAAAAAGCCGAGACGACGGGCCCCAGGGCTCTAGCTCTCTCTGCCTCACTCTCTCGTCGGCCCTGTCTGCATAATTGGATTTGAATATGAGATATAAATGGCAAACACGGAAACGAGACGAATTTTCAAGACGCTACAGATGCACAAATAGCACACAATTAAGATAACGTACATAATGTATAGGGTTAACGTAAAAAAACAACAATAATAATAATTATTATAGTATAATTATTATACTACAGTGTAGTATAATATAGTATGTTATGTATGTAGTAACTACACACATAACGCATAGGAGATAATAGTATTGCCGAACTATGCAATGACGCAACTCGAGTTCAAATCTTGGGGTGTTTGTGGGCACATGTAAATTCCGCCAAAAAAAAAAAATTGTTAATTAACATATCTTACGTATAACTTATAAGTTTAATTTAGAAAATATAAATAATATTATAAAATATAAAATATATTATTATTTATATTATAAATTGTGTTCAGGACTCGTCCTAGAGTCTTATATGTTTATACACTGTAATAGCTCAATTTATAGAATTAGAACGTGGAAATATACTTTTAATATTAAACAATTTTCAAAGTTTAATTTAGAAAATTGAAAATTGTTTAATATTAAAAGTATATTTCCACGTTCTGATTCTATAAATTGAGCCATTACAGTGTATAAGCATATAAGACTCTAGAACGAGTCCTGAACATAATTTATAATATTTTTCTCAGATATTTCCAATTATTAGATCCACAATACATGGAAAATCTGATAAGACTAAAAATATAATATACTATACTATAATAATACTAAAACACGTCACGTC